ATATATATATATATACATATTTTTATTTGTGAGGTAAACACTTTCCAGAAATTTTAATCCGAGTCAACTCTAAATCTCTCGGAGTGGCCAGAGTATACGTACATATAAATTTGCAAAGTTGAAGCAGATTTATGTTACACCCGTTCGTGTAAATAACGATCGCGGTGTTTCGAAAGACAGAGAGTAATATTGCGGGACGCGATATGGGAGAAAAAGGGAGACGAGGACGCGGCGACGAGGCTGGACGAGGCCGCGCGCGCGTGCGACGCTCTTCCTGTCTCGGGTCTCGGGGCTTAATTGCCGGTACACGGCGATCGGTACGTCACTACCTATATTGTGCTCCAGCCTCCGCACGCCGCGGCGCCGCCAACCAGACCGATCTGATCGTCAGTGTCAGTTGTGTTTCAGTTTTAGTCAGTCGTGTTTCGTACGCTTGACGTGACGGACGTGAACGGTAGTGACGGTACGCCGAGTGGCTCGAGGCCCAGACGAGCGTACGTGGAGGCACTGGAAATCGCGGTAGCGAGCTACCGTCCGTTCGCTCGTCGCAGGGAAAGAAGGCAGGAAGAAAAACGGGAAACGGCGACGGCGACGGCGACGCGACGAACGGCGCGATGGCTAGTCTAAGGCAGACTCCGCTGACATGCAGTGGACACACGAGACCCGTGGTCCACCTCGCCTTCTCCGATGTCACTGAATCTGGATACTATCTCATCTCGGCGTGTAAAGGTAACGGGCGGGATTTTGTTCTGTTTTGTTCTACGAACAGAGATTTGGATAGATCGGTTGACTGATCGTCGCATTGCTCCGATTTTTTTCTTTCTCTCTTTCCTCTTGGATCTTGATCATTTAAACCGCACGTTCGATTCTCGATCGCCTTGGCCCGATTCTTTCCGGTCGCTCTCAAGGCTCCGTGTCTTTTCGAGGTTAGACGCGCGTGTTCTTGACGGGCGCGCTGTCTCTTCCTGCCTGTTTGCGAAGGCAGCTCGATATTTCGAAGGATTGAACAGGATTAACAGGCTCTATGTGATACTTTAATCTTTAATCATGGATTAATTTATTGTCTATTGTTTTTCTAATTTTTAGGTTTAGAATAAGATAAAAAAATAAGTTTAATCGAGATTAAAGTAAATCTTTGTTGTTAAAATCTTTGTTGTTAAAAATAAAAATGTTGATTAATTTAATCTCAATTCAACTTACTTTTTGTTTTTTTTTTCTAGTTTTAAAAATTGGAAAGAGGTAGAAAGTAAATTAAACTAAAGTTAAAGTTAATCTACATAATGGTAGAAATGGATAATGTTACTACAATCATAATCGTTTGATGAATCATTTACATTGCTGGTTCATCTTGGTTGAGATTAATTGAAAAATTGTTGTAATGATATTTTTTTCTATATATATTAACATTGAATATTATATATATACAGTTATATATATGCAGCTATGAAAGGAA